TGATGGATTACTTTATTGATGGATATCTATGTACGTTAAAAATTTCGTCTGCATTAATTGCAAGAAGAAACATTTAATTCTACTTTGCTAAACTAACTAATATATCATGAAGATAAAACCTGTCATGTCCCAAAGTTATTTTCCGAGGATGCCGTGTCTTATTCGAAGTTGTAATGACGTACGTAGCGCATTGGGCTGAAAGAATTTGTTTGCCTCCGCCAAAAGTCTCGACATTTGTCAGTCCTGGGCGTACTGAAAAACAGAAAAATATTTGTTAACCACAAAGTATCAATTACATGAATGCACAAATTGTACCTGAGGTCTACTTGGACATGGAGATTCTGCTTGAACGCAAAATTGGGAACCATGATTGTTATATTCTTAGCGTCCTGAGTACTGATCATCATTCATGCAGCATCCAGTGGTACAAATCTTCTGTCATCACCATTTGATTACTGCGTAAAAAGTGAATTTCAGTTTTGGCGGCCTTCTTCTTGAACGAATCAAATTTAAGAAGGGAGATCAAATTTTCTTGACTAATATTTTCCTTTAAATCATAATTTAAAAAATCTGTCAGATTTTACACATGACACAAATTTGTCCTGCTCCAAGGTGGAATGATGGCACTGAAATATGGTAGGAAAAATTCACTCAGCACACCTGTCACAGAATTGATGACAGATATTTTTGCAAAATACACCAAAATTTGAGCAGTGCACCAAGGCCCTAAGGAAACTGCAGAACACAGATCATGAGATTGGCTGTTCCACACCCGAGCACTACTGTATCTGAAGCATCTTTTAAAATAATTGGTGTGGGGCTGTGGAGGAGCAAATCTATTTTTGAAATTCCTGATTGAAATTCCTAAATCAGTAGGAAGTAAGGTCATTTTCAAATAAAAATTGAAATCTTAGATATTTGGGGGTCATTCAGTAAATAGTCTTTGCTGCAATCAGTTGTTTGTAGGCTTTTAACCCTTTGACTCCCAAGATCTTTTTAGCAATTCTCATCACTGTCTGCCATATGATTTTTATGATGTTAATTTGGAAAATTTATTATTGGATCAAGTGATAATCCCCTTATTAATCAATGTTTCTTTATTCTCATCTCTTGTCTAATTGATATTGTATTGATATTGTAAGGAGAAATTCTGTCTTCAGTTGGTTACTCATATGGCAGTTTAAGGGTTAAGTCATAACCATATGCAAGCCTTGAAGAGGAATTTTCTCGTACATTCCAGAATGTTCTGTCATTATCAAGTTAATTTTTGTGCTTACTGAGTGAGTAGTGTGGATAGTCCAAGCATGCTAATTCATAAATATGTCTATATATTAAGTGAAGCTTGTATCAAGCTGTTGTTGTTATTGTTTGGTAAGGGGTAAATAAAGCTGTGTTGCTGACTACAAGCCTGCGGGCTGAGTAATAGTGTAGTATGTACCCAGTAATACATTTTTCTCAAACATACAACTGCAAATTTTGGGAACGAACATTATACATCCCTAGGGATCAACCAGAGTATCTGCTTTGATTTTTCTTCTTGAAAGACCGATGTAACAATGTAACAGCACTTAACTATGTCTTGGTTTTTCTTATGCTAGGAAATGTTTGGTGTTCAACTTATCATTAGGCAGGGGCATTTCAGGGCATACCCATTTGCCAGACCAGTAAATTTTCAAGAAATTCATGCCAGCTCTAGGCTTCTCCACTAGATTAACTATGATCATTGTGTTAGTTTCAAAACACTTAGTTAATACACACTTTATTATTGTTTTTGTTCTGGTTCATTTCTATTAATAAGTCTTTTGCCAGTTAATGATTATTATGCAATAAGTTTGTTATCTTGGATCAATTTCCATTTAAGTAAAGATTCTCTCTCAATCATCGCTACAAAATCATCGCTGCTAAATCGCTCCTAGATAATCACTACACGCTATTTGCTTCCATAAGGAGCTAGACCAAAGTGTTAGTCTCTATTTCTTTAACATTTACATTGTTTACCTTTTGTATGTATTATTTGTGTACTTCTCATATTTGGTTTTACAAGCCATTCATTTTTAGTTAGGTTAATGTTACATTTGGTGACGCATTTTTCTTAGTTTAGTTTTTGTTGTATTTTCTTTTAATTTGAACCACACATACACAACCTTAACTGCTACTCTCATCAGGCAAAATTACATCTTAGCAATAAAGATCACTTGACATTGTGTACATTCAAATTGTCTGCTCAGCCAGTTAGGTAACCTTTTGAGGTTACACATTGGTCTTTATGACACTTGCTAAGCATTTACAACAATCTCCTAATTTACTGGGCATGTGTTAAAAAATGACTGATGGCCAGGTTTACCTGTATAGGTAATCGGTGGAATGATGTAGGTTGCCAGGTATTATAACAATAGTTTCAAATTGATTGTTAAGCTTATGAAGGTGACCCATGGAGATGCAATCAGAGCTTCAATTTTCTCTAAATGTGCTACATATCACAGCTGTTAATTACATACATTTAACATATCACTCCAACTGTAAGTGCCTGTTGTTTTCAAATTTGAACCTCGATGATCTGGACCTTGATAATTTGGACCTCGATCATCTGGATTTTTTTATTGTGGGGACTCCCTTCTCTGGTGCCATTTTTTCATGAATATCACTTAGTTGCATTATAGATTCATAACAAATTTTTCCCAGCAGACAAAGAAGATGTACTCAATCAGTGTTGATGCCATTCCATTAATGCAGCTTCAAAGTATGATATAATTTACAACATGCTTACCTTGTCAGTTGTGGCATGAAACAAACTGATTTACATCAGCATTTTAGCCCATGAAACATTGTCATTGTAGAACATTTTTGTATATACTTAGGCAAATTTTGGCAATGATGCAAAATGATATGAGAATGTACTTTGATTCTTGTTAAATGTTGACTTAACAATATGTATTCAGTTTTTTTAATGGCTCATTTAAAGTAATATTTTCATTTACCCAGACTCTTGAATTTTCCGGGCTATTTATCCCAGTTCTCACAAGGCTGGATATTAGAGGTTCAACTTTATATTAGGTGTCTTCTATTCATTATACCTTATTATATAAGTTTTTTTTTAATTTTATGTGTTTTTTGGCTTAATTTGGATTCCTGGTACCAAGATTTATTATATTTGATCAGATTGAGATGTAACTTTTCTGAGAAAATGATGGCCTGGTTTATTTTTGTTCATACTGCATAACACATACATGAATGGTTCCTATCAATTTGACCCACGAAAAGTGCTCATTCTGCATGAGTTTTTTCAGCTCCAGTATAGATGGACTTGCTTTGGTGTGTGTGCTTTTTCTTTCTTACCTTTGCTGGAGGACCTAGAAGGATCCTTTGCACAGTACAACTCTGACCTAGGATGATACTGTAGGGAACTTGCCTTCCTTTGCTGTGGCTTGGGTTTGATTACCAATCCCTATGTCACATGTACATGGAGTCTGCAGTGGTTGCTTTTTGTCCTTTCTCAAAGGTTTTTCTCCCTGTAATCAATCATTTCTCTCCAGCATTGCATCAAATATTTCAATTCAACCGAGAATGTTCAGAGTGAAGGACCACTATGTGAATTTGTGCAGCTCCTAATTTTGTTTTTTTTTAAGTAGGGGCTTTTATTTAGTGACACAGGGTCTGCAATACATTCAGAAGTGAAGAAGTTCAATTCATCACCATAATGCGAGCTTGAGTCATGAGCCAAGCTAGGGAAGTTCAAAATCTTTTCTTTAAAAGTGAATCATGCCTGTAAGGTAATTTATTTTATGATCAAACCTAATATTTATGAAACTTCATGTATTAAAGCTAATTAGGACAGGGAATTTGAGTATAAGTAAAGTGGACAATGGACCATAAACCCCTTCAGAATCTTATGGGTTGGTGCCTGGAAGCACAACGTAAAATCAATTAATAAATAATTACTTATAAATAATAAATTGATAAATTAATCCATCTTTTGACTACTAAACGATTCGGTCGATCATTTAATCATTAAAGTGAATCAATCATTAAGCCAAGGATTTTCTTTTTTCCTTTCAGAGCTCGGTTTATTTGCCTTAAGCTGTTGACAGCCTCATCTTTGGAATTCTATCATGAACGTTTCTGACAACCAGAAAAGATGGATAGTCTTCGGGATTGCTCTAAACAAGGTTCTGGTCGCAAAAATACGAGCGTTTGTTGAACAAGAGATTCGGAAGGAGTATGGAAATCTTCAAACCAGCCATAATATCCATACTCAGAGCTATAGAGGGCGACTCCAAAAGCACACAGTTGCTTTAAAGTATGAGAACATTAATGGAAACGACACATTACCCAGGAAACCTGATGGAAAGTATGACTATCCCAGGTTTGACTTCCAGGTGACGTCACATATTGACCTTGCCAAGCTGTATGTGGAGAATTACATGGCCAAGTTCAACGCGTTCAACGAGCACTGTGATGCATCAGCCGTGCTCACGCTACTTGGTAAAGTTCCAGTGTTTCCTGCTGTTGTCCAGACTACAGCTGGTGATGTAAGAAAGGCCAGAAATGACTGGGCGCACTGTGTGTTTAGTGAGTGGGACCTACTAGGTTTTCAGCAAAGCTTTGCTGACGTGAATCAGCTGGTGAAATCTCTGGGCCTGCCAAGTGCCCATGAGACTGCAATCTTAAGAGAGCTGAATGAGTGGCAACACAAAGGTAACTTGTATTACTCTTTAAAGTATCCTTTGATTTAAGACATTGCCTTACGGTTGACCAGGTGGAAGTGTGTACTGCTGATTGCAATCTAACAGGAGAGAATACCAAACAAGAATAAAGAAGAATTTACACGGATTGTAGGAATTTCATAGGTTTATTTAATTTAATCAGCGAGAATCTTCGCAGTGTATTTTCTTTAATCGCTCTAATCACTTCCTGCATAACATTGACAAAACAGAAGGCAGCTATTTTGAATTTTAGTGCCTCTGCTATAATCACCTCTTGACAGCTAGGTAATCATACTGTAACTCACCATTAAAATAAGCGAGTAGCACTTACTAGTTTTTGTATAAATGGCGTGATGAATAAACTAGTTTTTGAGAACAGCATGTTCACCGATGACGAAAGCTATGAAATAAGCATTCGTGCGTGGGTTTGCATTCAGAACGCGACAACTTGTTGCAAACGGCGCCTTAGCTGATTCTACAGATTTACAGTACACTGAGAATAGATTTATTTTGAACAAATTCCCAAGCGACGGATGTTTCTACAAACGAAGGGAGAAATAGCTACTTTGATAAAAGAATTCCGTTGGAAAATGATAAATCATTTATATATTCCGATTACGAAGTCGCATTGGTAATAGAACTTTGGGAAGGTCGGTTCGAACGGCGACTGCAACGAACAAGTTTGCTTGTCGTTGGTAGCCGTGTAGTATTTTGTGCTCTTGAATTGTAGCCTATTCTTTAAACAATAAACCGCCAACAATAGTAAAACAAAAGGACTACCTCATACATACTAATGAGGTTGATGTCTCAAAGTCGTGCGCGCACGACTTTTTGACGCGCACGATTTTTTTATTCGCAATTGCATGCGATTTTTGGAGCGTTTAATTCGCGTTTTTCGGTTAACGTATACGTGAGCGGTACTGTACCTTTAAAAGTATCCTTTGATTTAACACATTGCCTTACGATTGACTAGGTGGAAATGTTTACTGCTGATTGCTTCCCGACTCCCTTGAGAAGCAATGCAGACACATTCAGAGAGCTCTTTGAGAAGGCATACTACGGGTTAAAGTAGTTATGTTGTTATATTTTGAGCTACTTTTTTGGTCAGGTCGCCAAAAATTGTCGCCAATTCGAAGGAAAATTTAAAGGTAATTGGTTTCTTGGGTCGGAAAAAAAATCTTACAGAAACTCAAACACCAAGAGTTAACGATGTGGTGATTTACATGGATTGCAAGTAACTTGCTTGCAAAGCTTAATTTGTATCTCACGAGAAGCATCAGCTGTGACCTATCTCATTTCCGTATGGTTCTTTTCACACAGGTGCCATACTGTGCATGAACGCTACTGTCGACCCTGATCTGGTAAAGGCTGTTCAACAAGATTTCGTTGCTCTCAAGAACGATGTTGATAAACTTGCATTTGAAAAAGAGGAAGAAAGACAGCAATTGCAGACTGCACTTCTGTGTATTATTACAGCTGTAGAGAAACTGGACAGAAGAGTTTCCAAAATAGAGGAAGATCAACAACTCATGGAGGACGATCAACGCTCCCTGACTGCGCAAGTCTTTCAGCTTGGAGAAACTCTGGACACAAGACTTTCGTTGGTGGAGCAAGAACAAGTAATCATCAAAGAGAACCAGAATATACTTTGTGAAAGATTTGACACCACACAAGACCAGATAAGTAAACTGCAGTCAGATCAAGAAGACATGGAACGACACATCACTTATTTGGGAGATCAGAACTCAAGAAAAACCCAAATTAGCAATGGTAATGCGAGCTTTTCATTTTATCTTAGTTTATCTACCCACTCGCTAAATGTTTCAAAATTCATAACTAGAGCAAATTTACCTTCGTAACTGATCTTTAAGTTGAGATCTCCTTAAGTGCATTCATACTTTTTCTGCTTCGCATGAGAACCACAAGGTGTGCTAATGAGTTACGTTTTCTATGCTTAAGACTCTTCCAAAGATTCCATTAAGGAACTTTGCAACTTAAAAGCATCTCGATGTGGAAAAGATTGTCAAAATTAACAATATGTACATAGACAGTCGTTCAATGTAATTTGGGTGAACTTAAGCCTGAACATGTCTTCCGTTTTGATGTTTCAGAGATTGCCAGTTGTGAAGCAGACATTAAATTTTTTGCTGAGCGTCATCATCCAGATACTAGAAAATGGTTTTTGAACGATTTTCACAGATGGTTTGAGAGGGAGGAGGGAGGATCCAGAGCGTATGTACTTCTTGGCGATGCGGGAGTCGGCAAGAGTGTGATGGCCGGTGTTCTGGCACAGAAATCAAGAACGACTGGAAACTTAGCGTCTGCCTATTTCTGCCGCCATAATGATGGCACAAGAAACAATCCCAGGTATCTTCTAGGGACCATTGCCTGTCAACTTTGCAAATGTAATGCTCGGTACAGTAACTTTGTGGGAGGGGAGGGTGGCATTAGAAGTTGTTTGGGCAATTCTGAAATGGGTATTCAGGAATTGTTTACAAAATTGTTACAAGAGCCATTAGCCAAATTCAGTGACTCTTGCAAGAGAATGTTGATCGTTATTGACGCTCTTGATGAGACGAAATATGAGTCCAGGGATGATTTTCTCGATCTCATAATGCACCGTTTTCCCTTGCTTCCACCATGGCTTGTTTTCTTTATTACCAGTCGTCCTGAGGACACTGTGCAAGTAAGATTAAAGGAGTACAATCCCTGCATTAAAATCTGTGCGGGGAACAGCGAAAACCTTAAGTTTTATCAACAGCACGAACTGGACATCAGACTATACTTAGAGAAAAGCGTCGACTTCTCTTGTCTACCCTTTTCGGCGGAAGACGTAGCGACGAAGTGCAACGGATTATTTTTGTTCGCTTACTACATTGAGAGAGTTCTCAAGGATCAACTCTATTCAGGTAAGATAAGTCAGCTCACTGATCTTTTCCCAGAAGATATTGGGGAGTTTTTTCGTCATAATTTCACGAGAATTTTTCGCAAAGTAGGCGCAGATTTGTACAAGAAGTTGTTTGGTTGTGCTATAGCCGCTCCCTCGCCCCTTCCTGTCTCGTTTATCTCGTACATTTTACAAAAAGAAAATTCTGATCTCGATGAGCAAGAAGTAATTGATGCCTTTTCGACATTTTTGGTTGTAAGGACTTCCAATCAGACTTTCGCCTTTTTACACAGTTTGATCCCTTCGTGGTTGACTGACAAGAAGAAAGCCTTAGCGAGGCTATCTGTTGATAGGAATAAGGGAGGTAGGTACTTCAGGGATATCATCTCTGAAGTTCTCTCAGACGCTATTGCGAATCATCAGGGGGAATGTCCTTCTTCCATGGAAAGAGATGTACTTGAGTACTGTGATCAAATCGGCGTCCGTCTTTTGTGTGATTATGGCGACAGTGATTCTCTGAAGGTCGTTTTCAGGTACTTGGCAAATTACCAAGTTATTGCGAGGAGATTAAAAACGAAGAGCATCGAGATATATTCTATCATTGGCGATGTGAAGCTTGCAATTTGCTGTGACGAAATTAGTGACAGAGAGAAGGAAATTCTTCGAGAGATATGCATATTCCTTGAAAATAACGTAGACGTTCTCCTACGAAGTCCGCAACTTCTACATTGCTGCTTACAAGAATCTTCTAAAACTGTCAAAGAAAACCTTGTTTTTCCAGACAGTAGAGGGGCTACTAAGGTAGATCACCGTTTGCTTTCTTTTTGTGGACTTGAAATCCTGTCAGAATTTGACTGCTTTTCTTTGTCACCTAATAAGAAGTTGATGGCTAGAGCAAGAAAGGGTTTCCTTTCCTTATTTGATACGTCTACGTTCGAGGAAGTTCAAGGCCCTACTACTCTAACAGGAATAGTAGATGATATTCATCATTTAACGTTTTCGCCAGACGGTAAGTTTATATTTTTTGGAAGGCTTGACAAATGGTTCTCCTTGGAGGAAGGTTGTGTTAAGGAGTTTTCCCAGTTTAATGCTCAAAAGCAAATTTGCTATAAATGGAGTTATTTCCTTAACGGTTCCAGGTATATTGCTGTGCAAGCAGGTCACCCTCCAACCGGAGCTCATTCTAGAACCTGCCTGATAAACATATTTTGTTTGTGGGCCATCTATGAGCTCGAACGTAAGTTTTGTTTACGTAAAGGTTCAGTTCTTTTTTCTGGCTGGCGTGAGACATGCAATTTCCAATTTTTATATAGGTTTGAACTTTTACATAATGTTCTTCAGTTTTTGGAACCCAATTTGACAGAAGTCGTAATTGAAACAGTCATGAAATCTAAAGAATGTCATAAATCTCGCCTCTGCCAAAACTGCCTTAAATTCGAGGAACAGAATGAGGAAGAAAACCTTAACATTGTTCGTCAGCGTGTCCTCGACCTTTACCAGGAGATGTTCGAGGTTCAGGTTTGGGATGTAACAAGAGGAATATCTTTTCTGGAGAAAGCGTTTCTCGAGAATGGGGTACAGCTGACCCCAATGTTCTTCTTGTACCACTTGAGCGCTGCCGTAGAGTGCGAAAGCAGATTTTTATACGAAGAAAACAAGAAATTGTCTTGTCATTCCATTGCTCAAGCCATATCAGTGGGGTCGCAAGTTCCCACTGCTGACCGAAAGTGGTTTGCTGATGAGGTTGATAAAGAAACTCCGTTTAGCTTATATTCGAAAAGGAAACTTGAAGTACTTAACAGATATTTTTTATTAGACCACCATCTCCTAGACAAAGGAGCAGTGGAGCTCGAGAATCATATCGTCGAGAAATGGATATCGTATTCGTTAGATCGGAAGTGGTTTATTTCTCGCTATAAATTTGGAGAGTTTGATATCTTCAAGGAGGAAGGCAAAAAGTTTGCTTCTAAAAACGTCGAACACTGTGTCTTTTTGGAAGACAGTAACGCTCTTCTCTATTACACCCGTGCACAATCGCTACAGATCAAGTATCTTGAAAGTGACATTGTGCTGACGAGCGTCACCGGACACAGCCCATTCTTCCACCCATCCACAAAACAAATTGTATATTGGTTTGTTGAGCAACATGGTGAAACAATCAATTTCCTGAGAGATGCTCCAAAGGATCTGATACAGTTCCTTTTGCTTCTAACTACCGAGGGAGTTTTTAATGGTACATTCATTTCAGCTGCCACTGTTTTTTCCCTCTCACCTAAGTTTTGTGAAACAGTTGGTAAAGAGGACGTTGTTCCTTTTGTCCCTGTAAAGAGTGTTGTATTTTCTCAAAGTGGCGGTCTAATTGCCTGTCATCTGGGACCTAAACTTTACATCTGTAATATTTTTGATGATGCGTTCTCTCATTTATTGTGTGAAGACCAGTGTGAATGCGATAGTTGTCATTTAACATTTTCACCTGACAGCACTTTACTTCTTCATTATATCCAGAACAGCAATGATATTCTACGCTTCCAGGTGTGGAATGTTCATAGCAGGGCTCTTATTGTGACATTCGACTTGCCAGCTGTCGAATCACTGATTTCACCTTTAGATTGCTGTTGTCTTTCATCAGACAACACGAAATTAATCGTATGTGGGGGATTCATTATTGAAATCTGGGAATATGGTGCATCAGCTTGTCGCCTAATAGCTGGGATAGAACACCACGTGTTTATCTCAAACTATAACGAGTTCACCTACTGTACAGTTTCGTCAGAAACTAATTTGTTAGCCTGTTGCATTACAGACAGAATTGCCCTTTGCCCGATGAATACACCTACAGATCAGTCTGTTCTGTTACTACCTCCTGCCCACTTAGGGAAAATCGAATTATGTCAGTTTGTGAAAGGAGGTCGTTACCTGATTTCTTATGGTGTTGATGGCAACGTGTTCCTGTGGGACTTGAACAGGTGTGAAGCTATTGCATTTGCGAAATTGTGTCAAGGAAGGGAAAGTATCAAAAGGCTGTGTGGATCTTGTGAGGGAGACAAATTCTTCTTCTTGACTTCTTCGGGTCGATTCGGTGTATTAACCCTTTGCGGACTGGAGCACTCGATATTGCTAAAATTGCCAACGCTAAAAGTGCAAAGCGAGGAAATGATGTTAGAGGAAAGTTGTGGGCAACAAAGGGAACTGCATGGACCAAAAGTTCTAACTCATGCCACTGACGACCTGAATGTTGTTGAATTTCTAGAAGAAATGAACTTAATGTGCGACAGTGAAGGTAACAGTGAAAGCAGTGATGATTGTGATGACATGGAAATGCTTGGTTGATCGAGTTAGCATAACTGAGTTTGTACAAGATCTGTTTATTCGATTCTTCTATTTCAAGTATAACAGCTTTCACAGTCCCATATAAGGGCAAGATCCTTTTAATTCCTTTTATGAACAGGGTCAAGACTGTTAGACATCAGATCCCATGTACGAGACAAACAAACACAAACAGAAAAAAGGAAAACGATTAAGACATAGAGTATGACAAACAGAGGAAAAAAATATTTTCAGAACAATTTATTTTTCCCAAAAAAGACACAGTGAACACTTTACTTTCTGCGATCACAAATTAATGAAACATAGAGTATTTTGGCTTGTGCATTTTATAGAAATAATAAGAAGATACGCGTAAGGTGGCTGCAATTAAAGAAATCACTGTAAAGGAGCCCCAAAAATTTCAGGCCTTGACGCTGCTCGAAACTGTGCCTCATAGATATATGTTGGGCGCTATCACTGACTGAGCAAGGAAGCCACAATTTGGTAGTGAGGCAAATATAGTAGGTTCTGCGTTCCCACAGAAAGAATGTGATCACGATGAAATGAAATACAAAGTATTTTTTTTTATCATCCGCAGTGATCACATTCCTGTTCAGAAACGAAAGACCTACTCAAATTTGCGTCGTAAATTGAGAAGCACGTGTTCGAATCTCGTCGAGGCCCAATTTTTTTGAGGCTTCTTTTCTGCAATTGCATAATTGCAACTCACTTGCGAGGATTATTCTTTTTACTTTCTGTTTTGGACTGAGTATCTTAACATTTCTGCCGCTGCCTTTTTCCCCAATCGACATAAAATTTTGTTAGAAGTGAAGCCTATGCATGGAAACAGGTTGTGTTCTTTCGAGCAGTGCATGCGCATTTTTCGTCTTCTTTCGCATTGGCCCAAAGGTGAACGCAAAGACATAAAACTGTCATTTTTAATGTTTTAGTTGATTCTCATCATCCCTGGACTTTTGTACCGCTGTCTCATCAAATGCTTTTGACTACGAACTCAAAATTAAAACGAGTCTTTATGGTTTTGAGACGATTATTCAATGTTAGTTGTGGGTATTTCGTCGAAACGCACATATCATAGTGTTTCTATATTGTACTTAGAAATAAGACTAAGGTCACTATTCATTTACGGTTATGAGGCTTGAAGGTTTAAGTGATCATCAATATGTTGGTTTGCCCAAACGTTCGCAAAATGTCATAAACAAATAGACCGTTTGAACTTCGCCTTTGAAATATTTCAAGACAAAAAATGTTCCGTCTAGATTTTACCTTCCAGGTAGATGGGTATTTGTTAAGCAGTAAAGATCCTAAGTTATAGGTTAATGATTATAGGTCAATGAATAATATGAAAATTTTGTTGTATATATTATTGTAATTAGTTTTATTATCTTTTTGTGTTGTGGAAGATCGTTGATTAGCCCTACGGCCAAACGTTTCATCCACAGTAACTGAAGTTACCTCTATCTATCTAAAAAACAAATTTGAAAAAGCGTCTCGAGCAGTTTTGTGTAGAGAGCAATTCTTACAGAGAACGTCTACGTAAGTTTATCAAGGGCGGCGGAACAAGGGGAGGGGGCTTTTAAACTGTAATTAACTGTCATGGGGAAAAATCCTTCACGACTCCCGAGGAGGTCCTTTCACGGCTCTTGCCTTGCCTTCCCTTCCCCTCTCCTGCAGTGAGTTCTCTTTCCGCCCTTCTGTTAGTTTGATGTAGTTCTCATTGTAGTTTTCAAAGATTGGAATTTTTTTTGAGAACATTCTCTCCTATTTTTTTACCTTGTATAGAATATTTAACAGATATTGAAAAAGTGTCGTGCTACTGCTGAAAGTCTTTCGAAGGACACTCTCGTAAGCGGCCACTGTCCTTTCGACCTATCTCCACTTTACGTAAATGGCTATCTAAAGATACGAACAACTTTTCCTTCCCAAGGTTGTCTCCTTACGAGAGTTTCAACTTTAGTAGTTTTATCAGCTTTCCATTTATTATGTATCGATGAAAAATCATCCTTGAATTGATACGTTATGTTATTGCGTTAAAAGGAAAAAGGATTTACTGCAGTTTTCCTACGTAAGGGAATAATTTAAGAGCACCTAATGAGAGCAGTTAAACAGTTGAATGTAAATAACTTATATTTACTCTAACCCGTAAATATTAACAGAACTGAGAATTTTATAGTTTTAAAGTTTTTGTTGCTATATTTCTTTAGTGCCGATGGTAAGAATAAAATTATTTTAGGAAGTTGCTATTTGTCTGGTTGCCAACTTTTTGTGTTATATCCCAAATTGATTGGCCGAGCGACTTTTGGAGAAAGAGATCAAAGGGCATGTTGGGCT